GAGTTTTTGTCTTCTGCTCAATTTTTCAGCGAAGAAAGCAAAATTTTGGGGTTTTCGTGAACTATTCATGCGTATGTCAACCAACTTACATGGGGTTTGATACAAAGATGCTTTTTCGCAGGTCCAAAGCAGTGATGTAGACAATTTTCGATTGTTTTGTGGGTTTTTACGATTTTTCTGGTGTCAAAATTGGCCATGTTGCAATTGCATGGCAGAGACATGTTGCATTCGCCCGCGAATGTTGGCGTTTTTAATGTTTTAAAGAATTCATAGTGCCATGGACTTCATATTGACCTCGCTATACGTGAAAAAAACAATGACTGCTACATTACTAAGAATATGTATAATATTTTTAGCTTTATTACTTTTTTAGGGTAAACTCCTATAGTTTGGGAAGAAGTACTTTTACATAATGCATGCCGAACAACTAAGTAAATGTGACGTGTCCCATTTCCCAGCACGTTCAAAGTAATTGGTAAAGCCGGAAACGAGTCTATGCTATGGATGAAAGAGACTCTTCTAATCCTTTAAAATGAAGCCTAGATTAAACAATCAGTAAATAGCTACTGAAGTTTTACTCGCAATTTATGTAACTGAACTTTATTTAAACTTTCACGCTGAACTGTGTAGTTGTGATATCTGTTCGCTGGCCGATAATGACGTAGTTAAAAGCCACAGACAACCAGTACTGTGTAGAGATGAAGACCATGAGGTAACATTGTAGATGGAACAAAGAGAACGAGCTTATTTCGAAATTTGAATTGCGTTTTCTTGATTCGGTCGAAGCGGTGACTCGACAAAGAAGACTAGTGTCCTGAAAGGTTTTTAGTTTTTTTATTGGTCGATCTTGTGGTAGAAGAAGCTAAAAACTGTCCTAATAAGACCAAATGTCTTGTTTCTGCATGGTTACGCTTGCTGTTTTTCTTTGATTTGTCAATAGTAAAGTCTGAGTTTTATTTCTGTGAATTTTGTCTAGTATGTCTATTGTTCACACGTAAAGGAACTGTGTTTAAGTTATCAATTACAGAATGCTCCTCTTATTTATCTTTTAAAGATCAGCTGTTCTTGCGGAATTTAACTTATCTTCTACTTGTAGGAAAACTGGTTTTGACTCAACAGACCACAATATTAACATTAACCTAAACATATTTTGGTACATATGTATATATGCTAAGTACAGTCTGAATAATAAGGTCTTATATCTATTTAAACTCGTGTTGTGTATTTTAAGGTTTGAAACTGATTTATATTGTTTACTTATGACTGGGCCCGGCATGGCCAGGTGGTTAGGGCGCTCGACTCGCAATCTGCGGGTCGCGGGTTCGAATCCCCGTCCCACCAAACATGCTCGCCCTTTAAGCCGTGGGGCGTTATAATGTGACGGTCAATTCCACTATTCATTGGTAAAAGAGTAGCCCAAGAGTTGGCGGTGGGTGGTGATGACTAGCTGCCTTCCCTCTAGTCTTACACTGCTAAATTAGGGACGGCTAGCGCAGATAGCCCTCGTGTAGCTTTGCACGAAATTCAAAACAAACAAACAAACAAACAATACTAATGACTGCAGGTTTTTAAATTTTATACTTTAATAATGCATTTCTATGTATTTATAGCATTAAATGTTGTTCTGTACAAATGAGCCCATAGTGGCACAGTGGCATGTCTGCATCTCTGCGGATTTACAATGCTAGAAACCGGGTTTCGATACCTGTAGTGAGCAGAGCATAGATAGCCCATTGTGTAGCTGTATGCTTAACTTCAAACAAAGAAACTGTACAGATAAAGACAGGAAGCACACAAATAAAGCTTAAGTGATTTAGACTAATTCGTTTAGAATTAAAGATTTTGCTTCTTGTTCTGGAAGGTTTATATCAACAATATAATATAGTATCCAAGTTGAAATTTCAAATTGTTGTTCTAAGAGGCTCGCGTAGTCTTTGTTATGCTATGTTGGTCAATTTATATTATCTAAAAAACTACAATTACTTGTAGTCAGGCTGTGATGCGAAGAATCGTTTACAAAGAACAAGAAACACATTCTGGAGTTTCATTAACACTCATAACTAAGTATCTCCTGAGAATTTCCAAGAACAGACCTTACGCGTATGACTTGTTCTAACTACAGGTGGCTGAGCTGGCTGTTTGTTTCTTTTTTTCACCTTTTTTTAGCTTTTCCGTTGGTCAATAGTCTAGCACAAACAAAGCTGCAAAGTCAACTGAAGTAAGAATGTGGCTCTCAAACAGTACTGACAGGATACACACAGAGAAAAAAATAACAGCAAACAATTAAAATTATTTACAAAAATGAATTATTGAAACCCTAGGATAACAGCAGAGTTACATAAATAATCTGAAAACAAGCTGTTATGATCTACAAGTACACAACGGTGGACTTGCACCTGCAATTCCTCTGGTCACCAATAAAAATATGAGCCGAAGCTCTGGGTGAACAGTAGTTTTAATCATTGATTTATAAATAATGCATAAAAGAAATAAACTTATAGCGCCACTGGGAAGCAAGTGCCGAAAATTTATATTTGACAAAAAAAAAAAAAGACCAGTTTGAAAATATTAGCGCCGTAATCTGTTTGTTTGTTTGTAATTAAGCACAAAGCTTTATGATGGACTATCTGTGTTTTACCCACCACGGGTATTGAAACCCAGTTTCTAGCGTTGTAATTCCGAAGATATACCGCTGTGCCACTGGGTGACCGCTGCAATCTTATTCCATGAGATTATATAAGAAAAAATTATATCATACACAACACATCCATTACGCATATAGTATCTAAAGAAACGTGAATAAATTGTAATAAATTTTAAAGCCGCTCAGTAGCTAAGCGGTAAACTTGAGGATTTATAATATTAAAATTTGAAGTGTGATCCGTGTTGCTGGCACAGTAGAGCTAGTCAGTTGAGTAGCTATGCGATTAAATACAAACTTTTGGCAAAGTATTAAAGATACTTTTTACTGATTTACAATTAATTAATTTTTGTTCTTGTGTTGAATTTTGCAAAAAGCTACCCGAGGATTACCTGCGCAAGTCATCTTTATATTTGAAATGATAGGCAACTTAATATCAGCTCTTGCTCTACTCTAATCATATATTGGGGTTTGACAGTCAATCTAATAATTCACCCACAGCTCCAAAGTTCGGAGTGTAATTTATTTTGTAGCGGGACACGAATTCCGGAACCTTGAATCTATAACCTGGAATGCTAACTACTGGACCACGCCCAGCCCAGCAACTAATAGAATTATAGTTGTTTAATATAAAAAATATTGCAGAATATCAAGTTTGTTGAAGTAATGCTATTGCATCATTATACGTTGAACCTCTTTCCTTTATCACCAAGTTTTGGATATTTTTTTTTTAATCACAGTATTAATACCATGCAATTACTTGTAATAATTAAGTAAAACGAGATATCATGAACCACGGTACGGTAGTTTTAAATTTATCTGACTTCCTAGCAAATAACAGCGGCTGTATAACCTTTGACAACCAATCGTTTTAATGTAGTCTGTCGTTTATATGGAGCCTCATAATCTACTACATGCATACGTGTATTGCTTCGTATAGGCCATGGGTGTTATTTAATGTTTATATGGAAG